ATATTACACGACCCTTTTGGATGGTTAATCAGGTAAGAGAGCTTTCTTCGGTCCACTCATGGGTGGCATTAGGATTTAATTAGCTGCCGACTCATTCATCCAAATGCTGAGTGAATGGATATGATACTCAGTAAATGATTGAATGATGCGGGAGACAAATTGAATCTTAAGCTTCCTGTACTTGGACTGAAGGGAGCTCCCTTTTTCTTGTTTTATTATCCCCTTTTTATCTTTCCTTTCCTCTTTATCAATTTATATGCTCACCCCTTTAATTCAATTTATGTGTGTGTGCTTGCTAGTTGCATCTGCTTGAGTATATTTCCTTTTCTTTATATGTAAATTCTTGTTGCCTTCTAAATTATCACTTTATGGTTGTGGTTTCATAGTTTTCTATCTGAAGATGGGGGGTTAAGGTTTGGAGCTACATGAAGCAATTTTTTCTCAGGAAATGCATCACAAGGAGGGTGTGGACAAGATCGTATTGTATCTTTCTAATTAATGCTATTTATTATGTTAGCAAGTTCCAAGTACTAACTACAGGCAGCGCATGAGGGACACAAGTTTCCAAAGCCCACGCTCTACAACACTAGACTACCTTGTTGGGTCTTGCTCTTTCTCCGCGACAAGTTCCCAGACGTTGATGCTCTAGCTAGCATTCAACTGGCATGTTCTTGCCAAATTGTAATTTACTGGGAGAAACTTTAGTAACAGATAATGTATTTTATTTTATTTGTTTTTCAGCGAGTTTTACTGAATTATGAGACATAAAATGTTTCAATCATAAAGAAGTGTATTAAAAGAAATATAATAATATATTGCTGATTTCATTAAATTTTTATCTTTTTCCAGTTGTGTATATTACTTGAAATTTTTACCTTCGAAATAAGCTTTTAAATCATGCTCAATGTCATACTAAGTTTCCAATCTTTACACAAGAATAAATTCAGGTTAATGTTTCTTGCACGGGATCCGATAACTTGGGAAACGGGACAAGAGAGAGAAACTAGTGGATAGTACCAAGTAATATAGATCATTTCCCATTGATTAATATTAAATTAAGCTCAAACAAAAACATTATTCAGCAGCCTAGCTTTATAATAGAGAAGCTTAAGGCGGTGATTGGTTATGTTGTATTTTTATTTTAATAAACATGATGTGATAAAAATAAAAATGGCAAGCAACATAAATTGACATTTTTTCGATCTTTATTTATTTCTTAAGAAAAAGAACAAAAACTGGGGAGTTGGACTCTGATACAGACACTGCATGAGGTGTTCTTGTCTGAATCTAGAACAAGGGAAATCTCACCATGGAAGGGAAGCTATTAGCAGCATGTGTCCTTACTTTTTACCTTAATAAACTCAGAAGTTCTTCATTGCTAGATTTGGATATATACACTCTGTCCTTAGGAGTAGCAATCTCTTTCCTACTTATACAGAATCTAACACCGCTTTTTAACATGCTATGATTATATTTTTCATTGTTCCATCTTTAACCAACACTAGAACTAAAGTTGTTTGTCTTTAATTACCAATCAGTTATTTTCTAATTTAAAAAATTAAATACCCGAATCTCCACGTGCTAATCACCTAGCAACCGTGCTAAGTTGATTAATATACACACGCTACATGGTGCTTGAGATTTGACAAAGGAATTTCGCATTGTGTTTGTGTGCAACTACGTTTAATTTATATAAAGTTTGATTTCCCTTTATTCTCTGGGGCCTAAATGTTTCCAACCCATCTGGAAAAGTATGAGAGTTAGTGAAGTGGATTATTTGTTTGTTATTATCATAAAAGCCTCGTCCATTATTATCAAGATTGAATGAAAATAAATAATTCTTCATAGTCTAGTAGCGAATCCATGCACTACTCCTATGCTACGCAAACAATATGCATTTAGGAGCTAAGTCAAGACGAGTAAATCAAGTTGTTTTTCCCTCTAAAAGCTATAGAACTGAGAGAGAGAAAAATGCTTGTATGCATAATGCAACGGTACTAAGAGTTTATCTGAATTGATGTGACCATAATAACAATATCATTGTCTGCTTTTCTTTGCTAGTGGCGAACATATGTAAATGATATATATGATTTCCTTATTTCGTATCTATTAGCTAAACATTCGCTTTAATTTTAATGAATGGCATTGGTTATCTTGCATATCAATCAAGATGATTCCATCAAGGAATGATCCATAGAAGCCACCGATATATATATATATATATATATATATATATATATATATGGGGCAGGATCATCTTACACCGGTGTAAGAATAATAAATCTTACACCAAATCTTAATCATTGATTTTCTACATCTAACGGTTAAGATTTATTAGGTCTCACTCATTAATTAATTTTTAATTCCAAATAAATCTCAACCATTGGATGCATGGAAATCAACGGTTAAGATTTGGTGTAAAATTTATTATTCTTACACCGGTGTAAGTTGATCCTGTCCCATATATATATATATATATATATATATATATATATATATATATGAAAGAAAAATTGTACTTAGTTAAATTTGGATTTACAAATGTCAGATAAACATCTGGTTGTTCAGTCATTCTTGGTCGAGTCTTTATTGATAAAGAGGAACAAATAAGAAAAGAACAACATTCGTGGACCATGTTTGAATGAGTGTACTAAGGGTGCTCAATGCTCAACTAGCACCAGAGAACTGAGAAGTACACAAAGCAAAATAAATATCTTTATATATATACATTCTAACATTATATTTTATTTTGCTGGAGAATCATAATTACTAAGAATATATTGAGAAAATAATTTTTTTTGAAATATGATCAAAAAGTTGTTTGATAGACAAAAATATTACTAAAGATATTAGCTCAAATTTATTGATTCTATATTTGGTTCATTGTTTAATATTATTAAAAATTTCAAATTTTTTCAATATCCGAAATTCAAAGAATACCACCCTTAAAAAAAATCAGAATTCCAGGTACCAATTTCTTGGGATTCTAACATGTAATTTTATTATACAATTTGTTCACGAATCAAAATTCTGAAAAAAATCATATTTTCGAATTTTTTTTCAAAAACTTGTACCGAATATGAATAAATAGAATTCTAGTATTAATTTTAGGGGAATCCAAAAAAAATCTATGTATCAAACTCTTCCTTAAAAAAAATTCACAAAAAGTTTTGATACACTCTAGATGTCGGAATTTTATTCCATAGTCCTTTTTTTCTTTTTCTTCTTCCTCTCTCTCCCTCTCTGGAGGGACCAATGTGCCGGGCCCTCTACATTTTCTCTCCCGTATGTTTTGGGAGAAAGCAATTTAATATTAGGATTATAAGAGGATAACGAAGCTGAAATGCGAAAATGGGGGACAGTGGCCAAAGTGCCACTGTTTGAAAAAAAACACTAAAATGCCACGCCAACAGTAAATTTTGCCAAAATGTCACGTGGCATATTTCGCTACACGGTGTAGCGAAATACGTGTGCAAATATTTCGCTACACGGTGTAGCGAAATATGCCACGTCAGAACCAAAAATGTCTTATGTCAAAGAGGGAGAATTTCGTTACACAGTGTAGAAATTCTCCTTGTCTGACACGTGACATTTTTTGTTTTGTGCATTCTGACGCGGCATATTTTGCTACACCGTGTAGCGAATTATTTGCACACATATTTCGCTACATAGTGTAGCGAAATATGCCACGTGGCATTTTGGCAAAATTTACTGTTGACATGGCATTTTGATGTTTTTTTTCAAACAGTGGCACTTTGGCCACTGTCCCCCATTTTCGCATTTCAGCTTCGTTATCCTCTTATAATCCTAATATTAAATTGCTTTCTCCCAAAACATACGGGAGAGAAAATGTAGAGGGCCCGGCACTTTGGCCACTGTTCCCGAAAATGGCTACCAAGTGGGTTTCTTTAAAGGGTGTGTTTGATAGGTTTTTATTTGAGTTTGATGGAAAAATATAGATGGATATTGAAAAAGATCATGTTTGGTTCAAGTTTTGAAAAAAAAAAAAGACTAACTAAATAGGAAGCCTGGACAATTATATTTATGTTGTTTTTTTGCTCAAACTAACTATTCACAAATACCATTTTAGATGTGGTATTTTAGGATAGGTGGGGAAGTGATATTTAAAGGAACCAAGTTATTGATGTTGGACTCTCATTTTTAGATAGTGGTTTGTTTAAAAAATATTGATAATGTGAATGTTTTGGTCAATTCAACCAATTTTTCCATTATTATTTTACATTCAACTAAACATAGACTTTGCAAATTTACATAAATTTCCCCGGTAATATTTTGGTGAACCAAACATCTTTTTTTAAACTTTTCCATCAAACTCACTTTCCTACTATTTCCTCATTAATAATGTTTCTCCAATAAAAAAATATTTCTCATCTACCAAACGTCCTCTAAAGCATTGCAAGATGATACAGTACGTCTTGGATTTTTAACATTTTTTTGTATATAATTTTTAACATTTCATTATTAAATAAAATTTTATATTAATCTCATTAAATAACCTAAACTCCTTTTTTATTAATTAACAGTATATTTTATCTAATTATAAAGACTATTAAAGAAAATATCAAATAATATTTTTTTTTTTGGTGTGGATATCAAATAATATTTTACTAATATTTTTCATGAGTGACATAATATTCACACAACACATTTTTTTTATTTATTCTTTTCTTTTCTATCTACGGCTCATGTGTCTGTGCTATCAAACTGTCACATACTTTTCAAATCTGAAACCGCATCTAGTACGCGGCTATAAGATTGAGATGGGAAAACATCTGTCTTCCTTCCTCACATACATCTTCACCTACATATTACTTAGGCAAGTGATACAAAAACATCATGTTTTGCAGCAGCTTGATTAAGACTACACTGCATGTTCATATATCACATCAAATTTTTATATATGAATCTATTCAATCGATTGCAGAGAAATTATAGCATACACCTAACCATTTGTTAGTACGGGATTGCAATCGTTGAGAAAATGCATGTCAAGGATATCTTATAAAAATCTCAATAATTGAACATGTCAAGTTTCTCCGAGAAAAAGCAACCCCGTAATTTAAAAAAGGCAATCAGCAGAAGAAAATAAAAAAGATTTCATGTCACTTCTAGGAGATATGGATGGCAAAGAAAACCCCTTCTACATGACGAGATACAGAGATATCTAAATTCACTCTTTTCACTCTTCTATTGATTAATCATTTTGCCTTATTCTCGGGTCCATTGCTTCACACGCTATGTACCGCTGTTATAGATCAGGACAAAAGAACGCCATCAATTATTGCAGAGAATCCAAAAAAAAAAAAAAAAAGTAGAGTAAAATTGCAATAGAAGAACCTATTGATGGTATTAAATCTCCTATCTCAGACAGGTTCATAGAGGCCTAAGACATGCCCATCAATACACCGCATAGCTGCAACCTGATCATGAATAAATAAAATCAGACCTTGTCTCTTCAGAATCAAAGCTATGGAAAAAAAATAAAAAAAATAATTTAGTACGTGTTGAATGAATCACTACCTTTCCATGGACCTCATGTTTTATAGGTCCATCTAGCACAGCTCCTAATGCCATTAATTTATTCACTGTACTGTTGATGTCAGTCACCGTAAATGACAGAAGCGAGTTGTATTCCTTCTGCGTAATTTGGTCACTGTGAAATAAAATCAGCAGCTGACCAGTGACCACTCCATACAATATTCGAGACCAAACATTTCATTTAAAAATATAAATATTTTGGGCTAATTAACAGTAACATCTAATGCAATTAGAAATAATAAATAATTTTTTGAGCAAATTGAACTTAATAAAAGTATCACGTACAATAAAGTCATGTTTTAGTAAAGCTAGTTAGGAATGGACAAATTATCGAACAGATGGAGGGCATGAGGAAAAAAGAGAGATACTGCGGAGAATGCAAGAGGGCAAGCTTGAGAGGACCAGATTGAAGTTCTGCCCAACGAAGAGTGCAGACATTGGTGGTGAAGTCCAAGCCTTCCGAGTAGAAGCGAGCAGCTTTTGGAACATCCTTGTGTCGTTGTAATATCCATCTGAACGACGCTGCCATCAGGGACGCCGTGTGCGTTTCACGCTTTTTCACAGACTCACTCACTTCACGCCTTTTCAATTGGATTGGACCGTAGGTTTCAGTTTGGGCCCGCCCAATTCGGCCACTCTATTATTTTTCTCAACAGTTATCACAGGTAGGGGTGAAACTGGGCCGGGCCGGCCTACAGGGACCTACGGCTCGGTCTACATCAGGATAGACTTGACTTAGTATATTTTGTATAATAGATCGGGCTCAGGCTTTAAAAAAATATGTTTAATAAAAAGGATGTAGGCCCACTTTCAAAAGGCCGGGCCAATAAGTCTACAGGCCGGCCTATATTGTATTATTTATTTTAAATAAAATAAAATATAGTAAGTATGCCTTGAAGAAAAAAATATAAATTTAATCAATTACAATTATTTATAACTTAATTATATTCGATTATATTTTAATAGAAATCTTACTTTATTTCTTATATAGGAGGAACCAACATCTCAACATGTTAGATTGTGTATATGAATATATTAAAAGATTTTTGGGAGATATTATTCTTACTACAAGCATCATGATGTGTTTGTTGGATTCATGTAGATATTTTAATTTACATTGTATGGATTTGTTTGTTGGATCTGATGAAATATATGTTATTTAGTTTCAGCATTTTGCTTTTGAAAATGACTTAAATGCATATTGTATGATTTCTGTTATGATTCATGATGATGTTTGGACGTTGAAATTATAATTTTTGGTGTAGCAACAGAATTTGAGTACTTTGTAAAGTTGATTCATGGTTCTGCTTGGAAGTTAAAAATTAACAGGCTAACGGGCGAAGCCAGGCCATTTGTTTTTTTATAAACGGGCCAAATCAGGCTAATAGTTAGACTCATACTAATCTTGGACCAGGCCAAATTGAAATTTTTGACGTAGGCTTGAGCTTTTCGGGGCAAAGATTGGCCCAGCCCAGCTCACTTTCACCCCTAATCACAGGTGTTGTCACTTGTCAGAACGTGAATCTCTTCTCTTTGAGAAGAATCTTGGTGCTCTATGAGTATTATAGACTTAGTGATTTGAACCAATTAACATGGGACAATGACTAAGCAGAGACGAGAGAGGGAAATTTCATGAGATCCAAGGGGAAAGAGGCGAAGAAAGAGAAGGAAACTAGAAAGTAGTTCATTTTCTTATTTGGGAGTTTAAAAAAAAAATGTAAGGAGAAAAAATTGCGGGTTAATAAAATATTTTTGAAATTTGACCTTTTTTAAAAATTTATATAATTATTATATCTTATAAATAAAATTAAATTTAAAATTTTTAACAAATTTATTTATATACTTTACAGACTATAAAAAGAGATCCAATTTTGGACAAAATTTCAATGTTACAAACGACAAAAATTATTTCGAAAAAATATTTTTTCGTTGAAAGGTGATGAAATTTTTTAAAGAAATAAATTTCTATCGAAATTTTCAACGAAATTTAGTTTCTATCAAAAGTTTTGACGAAAATAATTTCTTAAATATTTTCGACGAAAAAAAATTCCGTAAAAAATTTTAACAAAATATTTTTCTTCCAAAATTTTCTAATGGAAATCTGTTTCGATTAAAAAAATATTGAGGGAAATATTTTTGTCGATACTTGCGACTAAATTTTACATAAACATTTTTCGTCAAAATTTTTTAATGGAAATGTGTCCCGTTGAAAAAATTGATGACAAATTTGTTCCAAAATTTTTGACTGAACTTAGATTCCAAACAGAATTTTTACCAAAAAAATTATTGTAACATTTTTTTATGAAAATATTTTCCGACAAATAATTCCGATTGAAATCTATTATGTAGAAAATTTTGATGGAAATATTTTTCGTTAAAAATTTCGATGAATTTATTTTTTTGTCAAAATTTTTGAGGGAAATGATTTGAGGGAATTTAGATTACGTAAAGAATTTTGACAAAAAAAAAAATCTGTAGGAATTTTTTACAGAAATATTTTTCGTCAAAAAATTTTAAGTAAATGTTTTTGGTTAAAATTTTCGTTGTAAATTTGTATTTTAAAATTTTTGTAAAAAAATTTGATGAAATTATTTTGTGTAGAAATTTTTTTATGAAAATGTGTTTCGTCAAAATTTTTGACAGAATTATTTTTCGTTGAAATATTTGATGGAAATGTTTGGGTCGAAAGTTTCGACGAAATTTAGATTCTATCAAAAATTTTGATTGGATTTTTTTCTCTCGAAAATTTATGTAAGTGATTATGACAAAATAGGGTTCCATCTCTAGTTTCGACGAAAAAAAAAATTTCGTCTCTAATTTCAACGTAATATGATTTTTGCAAAAAATGTAGTCATTATTTTCAACGAAATTTTTTTCGTGGGTAAATTATGTCAGTATTTGAAACTATTCTAATAGTGTCACATTTAAAAATAATTCATATTTATGTAGTTTTTACTTTTTAATGCCAAAGGTAGATAAGTAATTTTCAATAATTTTTCCTTGAACCCCTCAAATTGGAGAATCTTTAATTTTAAGGGTGAGCAGGGTTTTGGGGGATTTTGCAAAAATCTCCAACTTTTTTCTCCTATTTTTTTAAACTCACAAGCAAAGGAAGAAGTTAATAAAACTCTCCCCTTCCTTTCCTTTACCTCCTAAAACTAACTCCCTTCGGGAGTTTGAAGAGGAAGGGAAGAAAGGGGATTCAAGGGGGACGGAGGGAAAGAAAATTGAAAAGTATTCTCTTCCTTTGTTTGAGAGTTTAAAAAATGGTAAAAGAAAAAAACGGAGGGTTAATGACATGTTTTTACAATTTTTACCCAGTTTTAAAAATTATTATAATTATTATAATTTATAAATTAAATTAAATTTAAAACCTTTCGTTGAAAGTCCACAAAAAATTTTATCCGTTGAAATTTTTTACGGAAAAAAAATTTCTGTCAAAATTTTCGACGAAATTTAATATCCTTCAAAAGTTTTGACGAAAATGATTTCTTAAATATTTTAGACAGAAAAAAATTTCATCAAAAGTTTTGACGGAAAAAAAAATTCCTTCAAATTTTTTGACGGAATATTTTTTGTTCAAGATTTTAGATGAAAATATATTCCGACAAAAGAAAAATTTGTCAAAAAATGTGAGGGAAATGTTTTTGTCGAAACTTTCGACGGAATATAGATTCTGCAAAGAATTTTGATGGAATATTTTTTGCGTTAAATTTTTTCACAGAAATTTTTCGTCATAATTTTTTACGAAAATTTTGATGGAAATATTTTTCATTGAAAATTTCGGCTGATATGTTTTTTTGTCAAATATTTTGACGAAATTTAGATTCCGTAAGAATTTTGATAAAAAAAATTTTTGTAAGAACTTTTTACAGAAATGTTTTTCAAAATACTTTTACATACATTTTTTTCGTCGAAAATTTTGCTGAAAATATGTTCCATTGAAAATTTTGATGGAAATATTTTTAGTCAAAAATTTTGACCAAAATATTTTTGTCAAAACTTTTGACGAAATTAAATTTTCGCCAAAATTTTTGATGAAAATATTTTTCATAATATATTTTGACAGAAATGTTTCCGACAAAAATTTTGATGGAATTATTTTCCGACAAAAATTTTGATGGAATTATTTTTCGTCAAAAATTTTCGATGAAAATGTAATTCGTCGAAATTTTTGACAGAAATATTTTTCTTTAGAATGTTTGACAAAAATATTTTCATCGAAAGTTTCGACAGAATTTTGACTGAATTTTTTTTTCGTGAAAAATTTGTCAGTGATTATGGCCAAATCTTGTTCCGTCACTAATTTTATCTTTAGTTTTGATGGAAAATTTATTTGTCTCTATTTTAGACGTAATGATTTTCGTCAAAAATTTTGTCGCTATTTTCGACAAAATATTTTCCTTCGATAAATTTTGTCAGTATTTCAGATTTTTCTAATAATATCACATTTAAGTAGTTTTCACATTTTAATGCTAAGGGTACATAAGTAATTTTCAATATTTTTTTCCTCTAGCCCTGAAATTGGGGGAACTTTAATTTTAAGGATGAGGAGGGTTTTGGAGGATTTTACAAAAATCATCAATTCCCTTTCTCCAATTTTTTAAACTCACAAACAATGAAAAGGTATAATAAAACCCTCATCTTTCTTTCCTTTTTCTTCTAAAAATAACTCTCAAACAAGCCCTTAATGAAAAGAGTAGATAGGCCCAGAGCACTAGAAAAATTTCCCTTCTGTTTGCCTGAAAATTAACTAGACAGTGCCTCTTGGATTTTTGGACTGTGACAAGAGAAATTTATAATTAGGTATGGTTTATCAAGTTATTTTTTAGGGGATAGGATATTGTGACACCCAAGTTATGTTACACCCATGTGACACCTAGTCAATCTCACAGTTAGATCGTTTATGTTGATCCAACGGTTATATTTATTTCCATCTTTGTATGGTTATGATTTTTCAAATTTAATATTTTATATTTATTTCTACCTTTGTATGGTTATGATTTCCCATATTTAATACTTTCACTTTAAATTTGGGAAATCATGACCATACAAAGATGGAAATAAATATAACCGTCGGATCAACATAAGCGATCTAACGGTAAGATTGACTGAGTGTCACATGGGTGTAACATAACTTGGGTGTCACATGGGTGTAACATAACTTGGGTGTCACAATATCCTATCCCATTTTTGAGATACTAAAATTATCATTTAAAATAAATATTTTTATTATATTTTTCACAACCTTATTTATATCAAGGAATAAGTTGTCTACCGATCTTTTTTCTCCTTGCCACTCTCCAACACACGATTATATCATAACCTTATTTATATCAAGTGAACTTAAATTGTATCCAGTAGTGATTCTCTTGTGGTCACTGCCAATGATCCGTACCTCTTTTACTTTCTGCTTTAGGACCATAGGAATAGAATTGGTAGTTTTTTTTGTTTTTTGTTTTTTTAAAAAGATTTTTACAGAGTAAAGGGCGGCCAATCACTTATTTTGAAGTTGTTAGTTAGACCTCAATCCTATTCAAATCCTCATTCCTATCATCACTCTCTTCTATAAGGGATTCATATTTTTACAGCGCCTCAACTATCGTAATACCCCCAACATATATAGTTATGGATTTACCATATTCCTAAATACTCTGATTCTTGGTTGATAAGTAGATAAATTCTTGCCATGTTTAGAGATGTGATGTATCACAATTTGCAACTTTGGAGCTAGCATGTCAGATGAACCAAAAAAAAAAAAAAAACTAGCAACTATTCAAAATTGTATATTTGTTTTTTACTTGTTAAAAGTCGTTCCGATTCTTTTAGCTACATGAAAATGACAGCATCTATAGTACTATACAGAATAAACCCTGAACGAGAAATATGCCACACAAACAGTAAAGTAATGACCACCATCAACAGAATATAACCAGAATTCTCCAACTTCTCTTATGGCAAACATCATCTAAAAGGACCCTTTCAAGGCTTTTAAACGCGATCGCTGCCCCTTGGTCCTTGCTTCAAGAAGTTTTGATTTCAAAGTATTATCCTTTGATCCTGAAGGAACTTTTGAAGCCTCTGATATGTCAAGGTCTTGGGATGCAGATGTAAGTCTAGCCATCCACTGCTTCACAGGGCTTGCCTGATTCCTCCATCCAGCATTGCTGAAGGAAGCCTCGCCATAACTATTTTCAGCATGTATATTGCCACTATCTGATGTCAAAAGTTGACCTCTAATGACATTATCAATAATATGATTTTTATTGGAGCTGTGCAATTCACTGGGGTTATTTTTTCTTTCAAAACCATCATTTTCACCAACCTCAAAGTGTTCAGGCTTTTCAGATATAGTTCCTTCAACTGGCCTTGTATCTGTGGTCTTAACCTGTTCTGCATCAATTGACTGGGTCTTCTTATTTGAATTAGATGACAAGGCCCAAGCCATCTGTTCTTCAAACTTTACTTGAAAGCTAGATGGGTTACGGTTTTTAAACCCTTCTCGAGGTATTGGTTTTTTCTTCATGTGGTTGGATTTCAATGTCTCATCAAAATCTTTGTCCACAGGCTGTTCTTCCTGTACTTTAGATCCCCTGTTGCTTGGCTTTTTCAACTCAAAACAATTTGAATCACTGCTCACAGAATCATCATCACCCACGTCTTGTGGTGCACTGACAGCATCATTCAATGGTACAGATTCCAAGGAATTCCGGCGATCCTTTACCACTGGATTTTCTGTACTAATACTATTTTGTTTAGCTTTAAGGAAAGTCTCTATTTCAAGGCTTAGTTTATCGACTATGGACTTCTTATCCATAAAACCATTCTGAGCTGCTTCCAGTTGCATTTGCATACGTTCATCCAGCCAGGATTCAGATATGTGGAGGATCAAACGGTCGTGATCAGCCCTTTGAACCCAGTCCCTTTCAGACTTGTGCTTCAGAGCATGCACCTCTTGTTCGTATTCGTTTATTCCCCTGGCAAATTCATCACAGAGGTCCTCCAATAAATTTCTTCTTGTTCTCTCTTGCTCCAATTCTTTCATAGCATTAGTGAGAGAAGACTTCACTTGAGACAGTTCCCGAGCTAGTTTCCTATGTATGCTCTCTGAACGTTTTCTTAATTTTCTCTCATCCTCGAGTTCATCCCTCACAGATTGAACAGCAGCATGGAGTCGATCCTGTTCCTTACTCTTCCTAACCAATTTATCCTCTGCAATTTGCTTCATCAGGTCATCAATCTCATGTCGATCAGCCTGTCGGTCTCGAAGCAACTCTTTGACCTTGATACGTGCATGATCTAGCTCTGTTTTTAATGCTTTTATCAATGAAATGTTAGAAGCATGCTGTTCTTCCAAGCTCCATATTCTGTTTAACACTTTTAGCAGTTCTGTAGATGTTTTGAGACTATAACGTGACTCCCCAATCCTTCCCTTAAATTCCAAGGAACTGGTAGGAGTGGCTGCAGGATTATAAGGTGTCATCTGCAACCCAAGAAAGGTCAAACACAAAAACGCAATAAAATATTGCATAATACATCCAAGAATAAACAAAGTAGCTAGAGTGGAGTCGGGATAAATATTATCATTTGTACATATCAAACCATCTGCAACAAGGAGGTAGTTCTTGCACTAATCTTCAAGAAGACCTGAACTTTAGCGGCAATTTAGTCTGAAAATAAATCTACAATCACAGTGACTCGAACTTCGAATTTTTTTTCAATCTCGAAACAAACTTCATGACTTTTTGCAAATGTTCTATTTTAGCTATCATTCTGAGAAACTACTCAGGGAGCAAACCAAACATCAGCTAACTGTTATTTGTATGTTGTTTCATTATCTTGAATAAAATTAATTAATGACCAATTTTCTCAGTTTGAGGGAAATTGCTTACTAATAATGATTTTTATGTCTTCCACGATACACTATTAGATCACATTTCAGAAAACTCCTAATCAATCTTTTACATTGCAATTGTGACTTCCAGAGATCCATGTTATACAAGAAGCCAAATTGAAACATTCCCGCAAAAAACACACCATGTTTTGTCATGTGCCTTATTATATTTTTGTTCTAGAAGTGTTAGCCGGGAAAAAGGAAAAGGGAAGTGGGGGTTGGGGGCAATGTTGATGCTTACCTCCATGGAACTACCATAACTTGCAGGAGATAGAGGTTGCAGTGCATGGTTATTTCTCTCAATTGCCCGATGATGCTGCATCAGTGATGCTGCAACATGCCTCCTCAAACTGCTCGCACTAGCTGGCTGATGAAAGAGCAGAGAATTATTAGTAATTTAGCATAAATGAACTTTAGATCTATCTTTATCAGAATGGTTGAAACGTCAATGAAAACTGCTGCCTCCGTTACATTCATAAGAATAGTGACAGAGCATGAGTTCAATTACCCCATCTAAACATGTATCAATGCTTATAGACGCAATACTAAATCAAAATACTCATTCATAACGAACAAGGTAATTATTATTTGATCTTCGAGAAATGCAGGCAGAAACATCAAGACAAAATGAAAGCAAATAGTGACCTAGATAATGAAAACGAAAGAATTATTATTTATTAACCTAGAATACAAAAAAACTTCGAGACCCTTCAAGGATCATTAAGCTAATATTCCGGAACATATAATATAATAAATACAAAGATTCATCCAGCAGTAGCACGACATTGGCCCTATTTTGAAGTATCAACCTAAATCAAAGAGAAAGAATAGGAAAGATCCTCATAAACCCAAATAAGCCAATCAACCAAAGAACAGTTCAAAAGCTAAAATATAGAAGCAGAGAGAGAGAGAAAGCGTACCTGATCAGGGGAACTGGGAGTCGCATCAGCCAAGAAGTTGGAGATGTTTGGAGCCTTGTCCTTGTGAAGGATGTAATGGTGGCGGCGAAGTCTAGGATCACCACCGCCGCCGCCGCCGCCACCACCGTTATTGACAGGACGATGCATTTGAAAGAGTGGGTGGTATTGGTGGAATTCCCAGAGAGCGGCGGCGAGTTTCCTAGCAGAGAGAGTGGGAAGTGTATGGTGGTCCTCAATGATGTTAGGGTGTCCGTGAGAACCCAAAACCCAAAGTCTCCAAGAAGGCACTGGAGTACAAGGGCCCTTACTTTTCCCTACCAATACCCCTCTACTCAACTTTTCTCCCAATTTTTCCTCCTTTTCTGCTTCCCCTTCCCCACTTTTTCCTTCCCTTTTCATCTCTCTCTACACTTTCAAATGGTGTATTTATGGCTTTTGCTTTCTTTTCCTTTTCTTCTCTCTCCTCAACTCGTTTTCCTTTTATCTTTTCTTTTACTATTATTTTTCCCCATGTTGCCTGTTTAATTACACGTGAGTGCAAGACAGTAAGTGTGTAATGTAGCGTTGTTATGTCTGCCTCTGGTGTCGAATTTGTCAGTTCGGTGTGCGTGTGCGTGTGCCGTGCCACGATCAAAGTTGTTATTTAGTATTCACTATTTCTATTTTGATAAGCGATGGTACACTGTTTGCTTCTTTGCCTCGGTACCAGATTAGATGTCCAGCGGCATGGCCAACGTTAGGGAAAAGTCATTCGATCACCCCTCTCGCGTTTAGCTATCTCACCCGCGGATAGAACAATCATTATTCTTTTCGGGAGCATGTCCTTTGTATATATTCTTTTACTGAAAATAAAAAATGGTGGGGACTTAAGAAATAATAATTGGGTTTATTTTTTTTTACAGTTAATGTAGATAATTTATTTATATTAAATTTAAAATAATATTATTTTGAGATAGAAATTAAGATATTTTTATAATTATAATTTATTTTAAAGTTATAATAATCTTTATTACTATAATTTTTTAACGCAAAACGATATTGTTTTGGGAGCAAATGTAGATAATTTTTCTACATTCACTATACAAACATTAAAACCATAATAATTATACAAAAATAGGTAAAATAAAAAAATAATTTTCTTTTTCTTATTTAGTAAATGGTTATTGAGTCTTTTTAGTATTCATGTAGTACTAAAAAAAAAAGGAAGATATTTTTCCTTTTTGGAGTTACATATATACAAAATATTATAATATTCCAATAATAACAAAATTGTAAAATTATAGTAGACGAAGCAATTGACTTTTTATGTAATTCGGTATGTATCCAACACTACTAAAAAAATATGAATTAGTATTACAAAAAAAAATATATATATGAATTAGGGACGGATTTTACAGACGGAAAATATTCTGTGTCTAATTGAGACGAATTTAGAGACAAAAAAATAATCTGTCCCTACTTGGGACGGAATTAGAGATGAAATAAGTTATGTCTCTAGTAGGGACAGATTTTGAGATGGAAACATATTTCGTCCCTATTTGGGACGGAATTAGGGATGAAATATTTTTAATTTCTGCAATTCCGTCCCTAATAGGAACGGAATATTGTCCGTCCCAACTTGGGTAGAATTAACGTATCATTTCCTAAATCCGTCTCTAATAGGGACGGAAAATAATCTGTCTCTATTAGGGATGGATAAATTATGTCTCTAACAGGGACGGAAAAAATCCGTTCCTAATAGAGACGGATTTTATAACGGAAAATTTTTGTCCATATTTTAGGGACGAAAAATAAGGAATAGTGACCAAAATGCCACTGTTCATTAAGTTTTTTACCTAAATGCCACGCGAACAGTGTTATTTCCCAATATGCCACGTGGGTAGTTCGCTACAGTGCCCAGCGAACTTGGTAGCCAATGATTTCGTTACACATGGTATACTTTCGCAGGAAAAGCTGACTGCCACATGTCCAATTTCGCTATGACTGGTAGTGAACTTTGTAGCCAATAATTTCGTGACATGTGGCACATTTTTGCTGACAGGAAGAAGTTAAGGGGTAGCGAACTTGGTGCTCTACGTGGCACAATCTCGTTGTCCGATCAGAATTAATGTACGAATCACAATAAAAAATAGAAAACTAAGGAAAATGACAATTAATTATCATTAATGTATTACTCACAATTAACGTACCAATCACCAATCACAATTAATGTATCAATCACCATTCATAATTAATTTTGATCGCAATTAATGTACCTACCACAATTAATTTTGATTGATACATTAATTGTTATTGATGATCGGTACATTAATTGTTTGTGATACTATTGTTACAAATTCGAATGATGTTTGTGATAGATAAAATATACCAAATGAGATGTCATTGGATAGATCTCGAAAAATATGTGAAATAAAATAAAAAATATCTGATTTGGATATCCGAATTAAAAGTTATGATCCTCTGAAGTGATTGGTGATTGATACATTAATTGTGATTGATACGTCCCATATGAAAACTATCTTGCTAATAATGTTAACAGGTGGCTACCTGTAACACTTTTTACGCCCAGTAGGAGGAGCATATGAATGAAGTTGAAATTCTGCCCATGGTGATACAATGGGATGATTGATCATCATGATTCATTATCTAGTTGATAGCCTAAAGTTGGTGATAATCCAGAAGATGATGTCAGTGATATCCAGTTACATGAGGATAGTTGATAAACAGTTTATGATCTTGTTATACATTTGTTATTAGTTGATATTGTAATTTGTTATACACGAGAATGTGAACAATATTTATTAGTTGATATTGTAATTTGATACATTTGTTATTTTTGTTTTTACAACACTCTTCATCATTAAGACTTCTTAGCTATTTGGTTATTACCATGATGGTTTGTATGGTTAAAATTATTACAAGTTTCAAACTAGCTTATTGGTTATATGACTTCGATGATTTATATTATGACAATTTTCATGTATAAATTTTGATAAAAAAAAATTTCAATATTATATTAAGAAATTTTGAAAGTAGGGATGGAATTAGGGATGGAAAAATTTTGTTCCTAATAGGGATGGAAAAATTTCGTCCAATTAGGGACGGAAAAATTCCATCCCAATTAGGGATAGAAAAAATTATTCTTTGATTCCGTTCCTATTAGGGACGGACACATTCTGTTCCTATTTGATACGGAAAAAATCTGTCCCTAATTCCGTCCCTATTAGGGACGGATTCTAGCCTTCTACAACTAAAAAATGTTCGTAACTTTAGAGACGGAAAATACATATTAGAGACGGATTTTATTCTGTCCTTAAACATTAGCGAGGAGCGATTTAGGAATGAAATTTTTTCCGTCCCAATTTCCGTTCCTAATTTATTTAGGGACGGATTTTTGCCTTATAGGAACGGAATTGTTCCGTCCCTAATATCTGTTTTTTTGGTAGTGCAAAGAAAAAAAATGTAATTCGGCAAAAACACTTCTACTGCATAGTATGAAATTTATTATGAAAAACATCTGACTATAGAATTTATAACGAGAAATGTTGAGTACTGCGTTATAACAATATTCAATTTTATACTAAACCCAAAAATCCGTTGACACCTATCCTTATACACTACTTCATATTATCTCAAGTCACTCATTCACCTTCATTGCTTTTCACCATCTTCTCATTTATACATCAAGAACAAATCAATACAATATTAATTGATAAAAATATAATCTACCATTAATTCAATAATTGTGTCATATTTACAATATCAATTAATAAGGAATATAATCTTTCCCCATTTCTATGCTAATTATAGTCTTGCTTCTTATGGGGGCATATTGAGAAATGTGATATAGCTTTCTTGGCTTGTTTTATGACAAATTTGGGGAATTGTTCTATAACCTTAGCAAAGGTTCGGAGATTTTTCGTTAGCCTCGGTAAAGTGTTATGACATGGGCTAAACAAATTTTTTCTGGATGTTGACTCTGATGTTGTTCTTCAGCCTACTGATTCGGGTTGTTTTCCTTGCACCCTCGTGCTCCTATCTTGGTTATGAACTACGAGTTGCTGAATAGGAATTAGAAAATTCAATATCACGCTGTTTTGAAGGACAATTCTTGCATATTGATGACTTGGCTACAATTAGGGTGTTTGCGGTTTGGATTAGATCGGTTTTAGAAGCAAAAATCATCTGATCCAATTCTTTCGGTTTGATCATGTAATCATCCATTCGATTTGTTTTTTTTAAAATCCGATCCGATCCAATCCAATTTTTTTCGGTTTGGATTGGATCGGTTTTCGGTTTTTTGAAAAACTTAAAATTTATTTCATGATTATTATGCAAATAACATCTTTTGTATATATTGACTTTGTAATTTTATTTTTTTTAAATATAAAAGCATCATTAAACGATAATGTAGTTTTTTTTTTGCAATGAGATATGAAGCTCTACACAAATTAAATTTTGTTAATGAGATGTGACTATGCTTTTTCTTGAGTTTAGTTGATGGGTTGATGAGTCTTTGGTTTAGAAATTTTTGGGCTATGATTGGAGAAAAACCCAAGTAGGTAGAGGAAAATTAATATATTGGATCGGTTTTTATTGACCAATCCGAAAACCAATCCAATCCAATTAAAATTTGCAGTTTTTTTTCGATTTTCGATTTTTTGATTTATTCGGTTATCGGTTTTTCGGTTCGGTTATTGCAGTTTGAATCGGTTGATGAACACCCTTATCTACAATGGTGGAGTTATGGGGATGTTGGGAATGGAACCTTTTACAAAGGATATATTAACAAAAGTTCACATCAAATCTCAACCCAAAATTTCAAAATCTTAAGGTCGTAGGTCTATGAATTTTTTACACTTATATAAGACTTACTTAGTTCAATTCTAATCAATGTGAGACTTTTTTATAACTCATACTTGTATATTTCTAAAATCTTCCCTTCAAGTGTGAGATTCAACATCATATTTCCCTTGTGGGCAACTTCTGCATAAGTCTTTTACTTTTAAAGTATTAGAGTCACATTAACATTCTGCGGAAGACTTCCAACATCACCATCTTCAAATACCCGACTCAACCATATCGTTAGCTCTGATACCACTAATAAAAATGGTGTGAGAGAGCGCAGAACCCTTTGCAAATGATTATTCCACTAATACCCAAATAATAGACCACAATAAGGGGATTGAAATTACAATTGTCAACCCAAAATTTTAAGGCTCAAATTGTATAAGTATTTTTTACACTTATATTATACTCATTTTGAACATTTTTAATCGATGTGAAATTTAATCACTATTCACACTTGATTATTTCTAACTAGGGATTGCCCTGTATACAATTTTTTTTTTTGTAAAAAATAAAAAAATCCCTTATGATTTTGTTTAAAATTACTTACATTCCTATTTTTTTTAACTACTTATCC